AGTCAGGTTAGAGAGGCAGTTCCTAGGGATGTTGAGGATTCTCAGGGTTGAGGGAATGCCACTCAATTGACCAATGTCATTATCAGAAACATCCAACTCCTCTAGTCGAGGGCAGAATTCGTTTAGCTTGTGCAGAGTAATCAACCCCTTCTGGCGCAAGACAAGGCGGCGCACGTGTTCCCAACAAGGCTCATATGGTTCCACGTCTGTAATATGCTTGATCAAATCTTCGGTTGCAAGTGCGAACGTCCCGTGCACTTGTCGCAAAGAGGAGGGGTTTGTACGTTGAGCCACATAGCTCATTTCGAGCTTCAGGGGTTTGTCGCCTTGGTTGACGGTGAAGTCCGGAAGTGGACTGAGGTGGAAGCTGTAGCTCGTGTCATGCCCGGCGCTCTGGAGAGGTATCAAAGAATGCTCTGTCTCGGTTCTGGCGGGCGTTTCTTGGACATGCAAGGAATCATTCCTGCGGACGAGGCTTTGGTCATCAACAGTCTCCTCATTCCTCTCCTCAATCCTCGAGATAGGACGTCGAATGAACGGCTGTCCGCCGACTGAAGTTTGGCGCCCCGTGGGAGGAACGGATGACCGTATTGGGCCATTTTCGTGGTCTGCTGGGGCTGTATCTTCATCTGGCACAATCCCATGGTAGGTATGGTTCACGTGCGGGTCAGGTTGGGCGTCATCGGGCTCGCCGCGAGAAGAGGGGAGTGAAACAGGAGGTGATGAGACATGCACTGTCGCGACACGTGCTTGTTTTCCGAGAGATCGGGGGGTCTTCGAAGACAACGGCTCCTCGCGCTGGGCTTCAGGTTTTCCTTGCTCGGAGATTTTCCTTTCTGCGGCCTCGTCAGTCCCCCATGATGTAGCTCTTGTCCCGGTGTTAGGAACACTAGACGTGAAGCGATTGAGTCTTGATTGGACCGAATTTGCACCGAGGGACGGTTGTCCGTCCCTCGTGTGTGGTCGAACATCGGGTTTCTTCGGGGATGTGTTCGCAGCCAAAGGATTGCGGGCCGTAATTTGCTCTCGATCAGCTTGGGGGTCGCTCTTTGTCGGAGAATTGAGGCCATGGACTCTCATCATCTCCTGGAGCTCATCTACACTGAGATCCGGAATATCTCTGAATGGGTCATCAGCCTCCTCGGCTGGTTCAGATATTGGTGCCTGTGGTTCTTCCACATCATCTTTCACCCATTGATTCTTCGAACGGTCATACTTGAAGCCATTGACCTCATTTGGGATCAGGTGGGCTACAAGGTCAGAAGCTAGCATACCCTTGACTTGGGAGCTTTGCGAAGAGCCGGTGGGCACGGAGGTGACGCTAAAGCCAGACATTTGTGTGTTGATAGTCATCAGATCCTGGGCAATGTTTTCCGCCGTGTCATCCGTCATGCCACTCGTCTTTCGTTTCCTCGGTCCATGAATTCGGATATTCTGTGAGTTGGATTCACCGAGCTCGGTTTGGCCCTCGTCCTGACCCTGCCGGGCATGCAGGGACATTTCTCGGTCATTCGGATCATCTTGCTCCTGGTATTTTTTCAGGTGACTCAAGATCAGTGGATTCAATTCCTTCACCTCTCTCAACTTGCGAAGATCCGTTCCGTCACGGCTCGGGGGGCGAGAAAAGGCTTCCCGAGTGGATTCATCGTCGTCGCTGAACTCGTCGCCTTCACTTTCCACATCAGACTCATGTACACTTGTCAATCCAGCCGCACCTCGTCCTTTGGATCTGATCAGATCCATGATCTTGGTGGCCTCGTTCAAATAATCCTGAGTGGTGATAGATCCTTTTCGCGATGTATCGCTGGTCCCAGTAATCTTCACTAGTGGAACGTCACCATCGAGGGAAAAAGAATCAGAATAATCGTTATTTTCAAAGTTGGATTCGGAGAAATCTCTATGTGGTGCAACGTGGCTTTCTCCGTCTGTTCGTATTTGGCTTGGTGTAGGTGTTCGAGGTCGCTGCCTCGATTGGGAAAGGCCCGGCGGAGCAAGATAGTCGCTATTTTCGAGCTGTACACCATGTTGCATAAGGCTTCGTTGTAGCAGTGACATGCTATCGCCATACTTCTGAGGCGAACCGCCATTGGCATTGTGATAGGGATCTGCGCTGTTGTTTCTCATGATTGTTCGGCGCCGTTTTGGGGTGGGGTCCATGCCGGGGGCCCGGGGTACTCGCTTCACATCAGGGGCCATATTTTCCTTGTTGCTCGCACGAGTCCCTTGCCGCAAATCATGAAAGAAATCCTGGCGCATCCAAGCAGATGGTTTCCTGGTGAATCCCGAGCTCGCAGATCTGCTGTAATGATACAACCCCTGCTGTGAGGGGCCACGGAGATATTGTTGCCGGGTTGACGATCGCTTTCGTGAAGACGGGCGGGACCCAAATCCTCCGGCCTCATCGTACACCAGTTTATGCTCGTAAGGGCTGGTGTCTGAGAAATCAAATTTGTCCAACTCGCCGCCCCCGAATTGACTGATCCTATGTACAGCATTACGAGATCCAAGACGTTCGTTTCGCCTAGGGGAGATCTCCTGCAATGGTTCATGTCTCGCATTTAAAAAGCTGCGGTTTTCGCCTTTTCTTCGCGCTTCTTCTGAGGGCGAAGGGGGCTCCTCTCCTTCTGAAGTGTCGCTGAAATTGTCTTCAAACTGGCTCATGCGCCGGAGAAGTCTGTTATTAGTGAAGGTGTCATGATCACCGAATAGCTTCAATGGACTTCCTGATGACGGCATCTTAATCTCATTCTCTGCTCCAGCCGTGGATGGCCGAACATGAGACGAGGAAGGACGCGGTAGACCAGGTGACGCGGTCTTGTGAAGGGGGTTGAACAAGGGGGAACTTCGGATTTTAGAGTTGGCGAGGGTTGTGGGGGACAAACGGTGCGAGGGAAAGGGCGAAGGGGAGAATCGCCGAGGGAAGGAGCGTTTTCCTCGCCGACTGTTGAAGTCCACCGTCCCCATAGACAGATCCTGGGGTAGAGAATGACTTGTTACGTCCAGCAAACTGTCATCTCGTGGAGACCCATCCACGTGAGGTTCACTGTGGTTGTAGAAGAGGAAGCTATCGCTTGCGGGGGAGTCCGGGCGACTATCATTTTTGATAGACAGGCTTTCCAACTTGTTGGTGACCTGCTTCAGCGCAGACTTAATGACTTCTGAAGTCCCGTTGCCATCAACAGTGTTGTTGCGGGAGAAGGTTATAGGTGTGATTCCCTCGTTGCGCAGATCCTCCAGCCCACTAGCTGTTCGTAGCTGTGTATTCCCCGCTTGTGAGAACCCTTCCTGGTCCCAATCCGTATCTAGGCGCCCATTATTCTCCCAAGGAGCGCGATTGACGGTTCCTTCCGGCGATCGGTTACTAGTGTCCCTTTCATCCTCGTCTACGACGCGTGCGTCATCGTCGCCACTGTTGTTCTCGTCTCCTTCCTGTCGCGAATGTGTGTCGGCGAAATCCCACAGATGGTCGTCCTGCTTCGTAAACGGAGTAGAGCCTGCTTGCACCGTTGCAGCACCAGGTGTGGGCGGCTTAAACACGCTTTCGAGTCCCATCGGCGCGAACAGGTCCCGTTGTTCGCCAGCGGCGATTTCCCCGCGCACTAGTCGTCTGCGCCATTCTGGTGTACCCTCCTTTGTGTCCTTGCCCTTCGATTTGATCTGAACTGTACCATCGAATTCAGATTGTGTGGAGGCTTTGGAGACGTTTGACACCGATCGTAGAGGGGAGCGCGTATCCATTGAGGGCTGCCTGCGAGCCGCACCCGGGGTGGGCTTGGGGCTGACCTTTGGACTTTGGGTATAGGTCTTTGGGTTGGTCTTGGGAGTACTGGATTTCAAACTACCCGGGGCAGGCGACCGTGGTTTGCGTGTTTTGGGTGTTCGGGGAGTCTTTGGAGTCGGAGGTTCTCTTCTATGGAAATGACATGGTCGGGTCACCTTATCCTTTTTGTTGCTTCCCGGGGATTGTTGTTCCAAGGAACGCCGAGCAGGCACAGGAATGCGACTGGGGGTTCCCTGCTGACTGGTTTTAGGCGACTCTGGTAGAACTGGTATAATAGGTACTGGACTGTTGGGCGAAGCTGGAGATGGCCAGTCATCAGACAGACTGTCCAGCCATGGTTGGTTGCTCATTTTCAACCTTTGTTATGATGCCGGTACGCGTTCCGGGTCCAAACAAAACAACTTCACATCCACATCAACACGAAAAGGCATAGATCGGAGCTAATAAAAGGTAATGAGAAGAACGGTGGGTAGAACAGTGCGGAGATGCGGTGTCCAGTGTATCTCCACTTAGCCTGGGAAAGCTCCAGGGCTCCCTTGTTTATTATCTTTTTTGTTTACCTTTTTTGGCTTCCGTCCAGATCAAGATTCTAATATACTAGACTATAATATCATATCTAGAGTTTTAAGATCTATCAATTATATATTTCACCCTAGTTTCCACTATTTTGTTTTTTTTTTGCCTTATTTTTTTATTCTGGGGAAAAATATGCTAAAATGTCTCTGAACCCCCAGATTCAAGCCAAACCATTAAGTCCCTTGGAGTCCTAATATGTTGGCTAGGCCCACTTAGTTCTCTTTTGTTGCTTCTTTGATATCATAAACAAGTACTAGTTGAATCGATCTAATGTCATGTTCTATGTATGTTGTAGTAATTTGGAGGGAATAGTCTAACGTTGTAGATCGGTAGAAAATATTTTCAGTGCTGTAGTTGGTCCCACATATATATATATATATATCTGCAAGGCTTCCAAGGCTTGATCGTCAACTACCAATACAACCCAAAATAGATTGACCCTCCAAGATTTTAATGTCGGGTCGAATATTGATACTCACATATCTTAACACGCGCAAGGGTGAGATGATTCTTTGTTTCACAGAAATAAATAATTGAAATACTGTGGGGGAACCCAAATATGTATTGTTCGTGTCTAACTCCTAGGATATTGTCTCCCTCAATAATGAATGTTACAGTAGAAAATATGAAATGCACATGGTTTTTAAATAATCAGTCTCTCGAATGAGTACTTGCCAACCGCCTTGCGGCGCAAGTAACCAATCTCACGGCTGGTGCGGTTCTTGACCTCACCCGTCGATTTTTTGGTCTTGGTGCGGGACACATCATTGGAAGCAGCCTTGAGTGACAGTGGTAGCATCTTGCCACCAGCATCGCCATCGTAGCCATCCTCTCCCTCACCGGGACGGGTGAAGACCATCAAGTCGGCGCCATTGAGTTTCTCGTAGCGGACAAGGTGGGACGGACCCGACGCCTCGGCATCCATCTTGGCCAGGGCATCCTCAGAGGTAGTAGCGGGAGTGTCAACTTGGTCCGCAAAGCGGAGGTACTCGCACAAAACGCCCTTGAGATAAGTAGCCTCTTCCACTCCTGCAAGCGCGGCGGAGACTTCAGACTTCATGTCTGCAATCAATTCCATTTCGCGACTAGCAGCGGCAGCGGCAGAGACCGAGTCTGAGTCTTCGAAATCACCCGCTGCTGGGATGGCCGAGATCCAACCGGAAGGACCCACAGCATCCACAGAGGCAGTGATGAGATCAACGATAACATTGAGAGAAAGGGTAGGGGTAATTTGGTCAAGAGTAATAGGTGTTGGGGGATTTTCAGTGAACCGAGAAGTGTAACCTCCGGTAGCGAGGGAAAGGCGGAGATGGTGAACCATAGAAATGAGCTCTGTCCGAGAGAGATTGGAGCGGAGGGAATGAACGACCACTGACACGGGCTGCGAGTGAATCTTTTGGAGGGAGGTGTTCAGGCCAGCGAAGATATCCTTCAGGGTTGCCGTTTCGGCCCCCAACTGTTTTGAGAGTTCCTGAGTGGGAGTGGCAAGGTCACCATTTGTGATCGCGCGAGCTGTCTCCTCAAGAGTTCCAGAGTGGGAACGTGCCTGGTTCAAGAAGGCCTTGAGCGCGTAGGCCAACTCATCGGAGGAAATCAGAGTGGGACCCTCAAGCACTTGGTTGACCTGCTTCAATGAGGGATCTGAATCGAGCAGGGCCTGAATGAATGATCCGGTGGGGAATGGTTGCAAAATGCGTGGCTTGCATGCACGACGGAGCGCAATCTCAACGTTGTCGAGCGACAGATGTCCCAAGCGAATGAGCCAGTCGCAAGTAGTCGGGGGCCACATGGCAACACGGAGTTGAGATGAAGCAGATGCTGACACAGTATCATTTGTAGCAGAATCTTCCACAGCGAAGATTTTTGAAAGCAAGAAAAGAGTTGCTTCGGGGTTAACATACTGCCCGCGGACCGGGAGCGTTGTGGAGGCATCGGAAGTGCTGAAGTATGTCAGAACAGCATTATCAAACAAGTCAATGTTCTTCGTCTTGGTCGCCTTCTCCACCGTTTTCGTGAGCTGAGTCCATTTCTCAACTTGCTCCGGTGATGTGAGCCGAAGGGAGGCCATGTTGTCAGATCGGTGCTTCTTCGATGCGATATCCCACTGTGCTCCGGATGAACCAATACCTCTGCCGATGGCATCGATGAGCAGGCTATCTCTGGTCCGCTTCAGAGAAGAGCTGGGAGCACTAGGGAGAGAGCTCAAGTCAAAGGCAATCAGAGTGTTGCCCTTGGTTGCGACGGCAATGCCAAGTTTGGCGAAGTAGCTGATGAAGTTTGTGGGAGTCTCTGGGGTTGACCCAGTGCTTGACAAAAGATCACCGGCCGGAATACTGCGCTGCACAGAATGGTATTGAGTATCATAGACCGCCACTAGAGATCGTTGTGCTCCAATCACGGATTGGGGGGAAATGCGCATGACTGAGGAGAATTCCTCATCATCAAGGACGAATTGCGATGTGACACAGGGAGAGTACTGAGAGAGGTCAACGTTGATAAAACCCCTCTCAAAAGAAAGGTTCAACCCTGCCGAGCCAGAATGGAAGCTCCATTGCATAGCATTGCCATCAGTGGTTTCCAGGCCGCTCACATCCGGGATGTGGAAAGTTTGTAAATGGCGTAGGCGCTGACTTTCGTCCAACCGTGACTCTGACTTCGCATGCGCGGGGACTGAGAACATCTGCACAATGATGTCCTTGAGGGAGACTCGATCGGTGTTCTTCGGTTGGGACACCAGAAGCAATATAGATGGCTCGTTGGTTCCTGAGGTTGTCAGATCGCCCAGCGCCAGTAAAGCCAAATCCTGCCGTCTTTTGAACAAAGCTTTCTTCGCATCATCGAATTCAACCAAAAAGCTGGACTGGACATTGTGAGTAGAGCAAACCTTTGCAATCTCACTGTGCTGAATACTCCACCGTTGGCTCTTCAGATCCGACGACAGCCTACGCACACGGCCATCCTCGTGGACTGCTAGGATATCGAATGGGTCCGTCTCTCCTTCGGCATCGGTACTAGAGGGCACGATGCCCACAAACGTCGTGGGGCTGGTCGAATCGGTTACGGTGGTGGTGGAAGAAGAAATGACCGGAGCACTTGAGCCACTGCTGCCGATCTCCTCCACGAAACACTTGATTTGATGTTCTGGCTTAGTGACAGCAGTATAAGTTTGTCTTCGGACTGTCGATTTTTTCGACAACTTCCGGCGGACTGAGCATGGGCGGCAAGAGAACGTAGATTGCGGTGGGACGGCGTAGGAAGTCACGAGCTTAGGTGTTTGAACCTGGTGAAGATTAAAGTCAGATGCAGCCGAAAGAACACAAAAGAAGTAAAAAACATACATTGTAAATGTTCACAGCCTCGCCATCCACAGCAACTGCGACTTCATAGCGCTTGCGTTTTTTCGCATCGGCGAGACTGAAGACATCGCCGATACGGGTTTTGCCAGTAGAAGCGTGAAGGGGGCGAGGCAATTGCGCCAGGACGGATGGGGACTGTAAATCCATGACGAAATGAACACCAGGAATCAAAAATGGCTTGAGTTCCTGTCCCTTCAAAGCGTGTGATCTTTTTGATGCAGACCCATCCAATTTGGAAATCTGAAAAATTTTCGGGATTACATCGGGCCGGCATCTCCACCCCTAGGCCATATTAGGGCTAGCGTTGGTCCGTGAAGCAGTCAGCCTGACATAAGCAATTAACGCGCCTTTCGCGTCGGACGTGTTTGAAGCTATGGAGATCGACCTCGAATAGATTCTCACTTCAAGCAATCGCTCCGCACTTACCACCAATATTCTCTCATTTCAATGCTATATCTGAGATACTGTTTGCTCCCTGGTCTCTCTTCAGGGATCAACTGATTGTTCATCACATGAGCATCGTATCCAGTCTACTGATGGCTATGGGAACTAACGAACAGCAAGTTATACATCCCTTCTTCCGACAAGGTCAGAATGTGTCCCATAGCTGCAGGTGAATCCTAGCTTACGATGTCTAGAATTTGGTGTCTCGGTCAAATCTACACCCTCAAATGAGCCAATCTCGCCCGCGAATACCCACGTACATGAGTTTCGACCGATAAGCAGCCAGAGCTCTACGCATGAGTCGGGGCTCCAGGCCCCGGAGAATCACGATCCAAATGTTCCCAAAACAAACGGGGAGAATCCTGTGGATCTTGATGAAGACTTGAATGAGGATCGGAGGAAGAGGCGAAGGACGGACAAAGCCCAAACCATCGAACCCATCACTTCCAGTATTGGTCTCTCAGAATGGCTCGACCCTAGCATGACAAACAGTACGATTTCGTCAACTGATCATCCTATCGAGACCGAAAGTAATTTGTCTCTACCTCACGCCGTGGCTCCGCTGGCGGAGACCCAACTTGCTGCAGAGGAAACGCGGCCATTGACACCTACCGAGAACGAGAAACCAGAGGGCCCGGTTGGCAGAACCTCTGCAAGACAAAAGACTCTCAAACTGAACTCGAAGGGCGGATTCCTGTCGTCACCCGCTTCCAGTCCTCCCCGAGAGACAAAAAAGAGAGCGACAGGGAAACGGGGAAGGCCCCGGAAGGTTGAGCGCAAGGTGGTGACGATCAGGTATAGCATCGACAAAGAAAAGAATATTGGAAAGTTGGTCGACGATATCCTAGGTGGCCGAGCGGTTCAAAAACCCCCTGCCACTGTACCCTCTGTTCAGCCGCGCAAGGCGAAAAGCCAACCTCAAAAGCCGACACACCCGTTCTTCAGCAAGAAACCAGCACAGAAACCCGGGCCTAGGAGTTTGAATGGATCCCAATCGGACAATGCAGATATCAGCGCGAGCGTGCTCCCAAGCCAAACCTCAGCTGGGGCCCCGGACAAGAAGCGTATAGTAGCAGCTTCAGGCAGTTCATTTGCCAGCTTCCCCCGTCGTGTCTCTAAGTTCGCCGAACTGCTTGATCCACTTTGGCCACCGCAAGACCTTGTGCATGTCAGAGACGTTCACCCACACCCAAATATTATTGGTCGTGCCTGGCATACTACCCAGGACCGAAAAAAATCCAAGGTCGCAGCTATCTCAGTTAGAGACGAAGAAAACGTCCTTCTGGCTGGAACAGCTGAAGCAAGGAGGATCGCCCGCCTGTCCAAGCAGGACTACGATGCTTTAGCTATTCTTCGGCATCCCGTGCGACATGTTGCTAGTAGTCAAGTCTTGCATACAGCAATGGAAAGACAGATGTCGTGGTCCTCACCAAACCGCCAATTTCCTTGGAATTCTTCTAGTCCGCCTCTTGCTAGACTTCGATCGGCCTTACTCACATCAGTTTCAGCTTTCGATTGTGCAACGTACGAACCGCATCTTTGGACACACAAGTACGCCCCCCAGTCAGCCGAAGACGTCCTGCAACTTGGCCGTGAACCACAGATGCTTCGAGACTGGCTACGGCACCTCAAGATTACCGCAGTTGACACCGGAAAATCATCTAAAGAGAATGCGAAATCGAAATCGAAGCGAGAGAAAAAGGCGAAAAAGCGCCAGAAAGCTGACAAACTCGATGGATTCGTTGTGTCAAGCGAAGAAGAGGCTTCTGAGATGGACAATTTCTCTGGCTCAGATGACGAGTTAGCGGGCGGCGTGACCACAACGCCTCAACGGACAGTCGTTAGGTCAGGTGACATAGCATCTGGTTTACATGGAGCAGAAAGAAAGATCCCAATGACCAATGCGATTCTTCTTAGCGGCCCGGCTGGCTCCGGCAAAACCGCTTCTGTCTATGCCGTTGCAAAAGAGCTTGATTTTGAGGTCTTCGAGATAAACGCTGGAAGCCGACGAAGTGCCCGAGATATGCTGGAGCGAGTCGGAGATATGACGCAAAATCATCTTGTTCATCTCCTCAACGAATCCGAGAGTGCAATAGACAACGATAAGGATGCTGCTAAGCAAAACAAGCTAAAGAGCTTTTTCAAAGGCGCATCCTCAAAAGCTAGCCATCCAGTCGTCTCCCAATCTGGCGGACCTAGCCCTAAGCCCCAAACTGCGCCCAAACGCCCCCGGGAGCAAAAACAGTCTTTGATCCTGCTCGAAGAAGCCGACATCCTTTTCGATGAAGATCGGCAATTCTGGACTGGTGTCTTGACTCTCATCAGTCAATCTAAACGACCGATTGTCATCACCTGCAACGATGAGAGTTTAATCCCTACTCAGGACATGTCTCTTCATGCCATATTGCGTTACCACAAGCCTGCTCATGACTTTAGCGTCGATTACCTGCTTTTGGTTGCCGCCAACGAGGGGCATATGTTAAAGAGAGAAGCCGTCACCAGACTTTATCAAGGATCCGGAATGGATCTTCGGAAGTCATTGATGGATCTGAACTTCTGGTGCCAGATGGGTGTCGGTAGCGAGAAAGCAGGCTTAGATTGGCTGCTTCCCAGTTGGCCACCTGGGTCAAACGTGGATCATGACGGGGATCGACTTCGAGTTTTGAGCCTCAACACCTACGAGCGATATATGGGCTGGTTTAATCGTGATATGATTGTGACCCAAGGCTCGTTGGAGGAAGAGACGGAAATCATCCGCAACAGCTTCCAATCGTGGGGTCTCGGCCTGCAAGATTCCGAAGACATGGCTGGGAAGAATGAAATTGAACTTCTGTCTCCTGATCAACTTTTGTCTATTCCCAAGCCAACGCAACTTGACATGCTGTGCCGGGAAGCGGATTACTATGACATGAGGAGTTCTCTCGACATCCTTTGCTCCAATATCTCCTTGAACGCGAGCAACGTGAGTGTGATCGATATGTTTACCAAAACACCAGCTAATAATTGAACAGGATGCAATTGATATATCCGTCCCACCACCGCCAGAAGGCTTCAAATCCAACTATCTTGACAATTACCCACTCCTGCATACAGAACTGCGACCAGAGTATTCATCACTCAGTGAAACTGTCGGCGCCACCTTTGATGCGTTGATAAGCAGAACTTTCCGTCCCACGACTGCCCAGGACTTGGAATCTTTATATGCCAACCGGGCCTTGAGCAAAGCCATTGTCTCTGCAATGCCTCTGCAAACCCCTCCGTCCACCCTTCCTCAATTCCAGCGCATCTTCGAACCCATCATGCGTGCCAACTACTCAAACCCTACGCCAACTGCCCGCCACGCCCCTTCATTCGAGAATGGACTCGCACCGATCACGGAAGATTTGGCCCCGTACATCCGCAGTATCATGGTCTTTGATGGTCGTCTCCAGCAATACCGCGAGAGGCTGTTTGCGCTCACAGCGCAGGAACATGGGCGCGGCGAGAAGCGTTCACGCACAACACGTGCCAGTCGTGCGGCCCTTGAAGGAGGCGACAAAGCCTCAACCCGCAAGGAGAGGTGGTTCGCTCTAGACACTCCTTACTACAAAGTGCAAGGCACCGCAGGGCCAGAGTGGCAGCATGTCTTGTTCCAGATGGGGTATTTCCATGTCCAACCTATGCTTGAGCCATCCCCCGAGTGCAGTGACCATGCCTTAGGTGACCGAGTCATGGAGACTGCCGAGTGATTGGTCTCGTGTCTCGTGCACGATTCAATGTATTATTTATGAAAACGATCTCAATGATATAGCTACCTGTTCCAGTATCTACGCCTGTACTATTTATTATTTACTATTTATACCAGACTTCACTTCGAATAAAGCCATTTGTGTCTATAGTTCTAATCTACCGTGGATATTGTGCACAACATGGAAAAAAATGATTCGCTATTGTGCTATGGCTCAGATCGCTTGAAACTTATAAACATTGAAAGAGGATAAGAACCTCGGAAACCAGTCCATAAGAAAGAAATATTTGAAGTGTCCCAAATCGAAGGAAGCGCCCCCGACCAGCAGGAACCTAACAAAAGTTAGCATCCAACTTCATTGTGGTCATATCCTATCCAAACTTACAAGAAACATATCGAAACATATCAGACCCCGCACTGACTAGGAAACAACCCTAGTAGCCACGGGCTTCGGCACCTCAGGACTCTGAAACTGAGCAAGGTGATAGGGACCATGATCCTGCTTGAAATCAAAGATTGACTCGCCGGAGCTACGCCGCGACTCGGAAGTATAGGGACGTCCATTCGATGGTGGTGCTCCCTCAGTGCCGAATCGCTGTGTCGCGTAGCGAGCATAGAAGCCTGATTTGCGTTTACGGTCTTCTAGGTCTTCGCGGTCATCGCGACGCATGCGCTTGTGGTAGAGGACTATCAGGACGATAATGGCGGTTATGATGATACTGAGATATAGTTAGTTTTGCCATGGTTGGGCGGTTCAGTGCTGCATGTTGGTTGCATATATTCCATGGATGTATAATGTGATGTCGGAAAAGAGCGCTGATGGAGGCGGTAATACTTACACCCCTGATATTGCGGCGGGGATACCGATCGTCACCGCTGCGCTGGTGGGCTTTGTGCAGCTGGACATGGTTTCGTCGCCATTGCAATCGCGGCGGAAGAGAGTAAGGAGTGTGGGGAGCATAATGGATGTCCGTGATGGTCAATGTTTAAAAGAGTGTATTTGATGAGAACCGGAAATAAAGGAGTGAAGGGGTTCTTCAGAAAGGATACAAGGGAGTGTGTTGTGATGGAGTCAGTGAATCAGTGAATCAGTTCCGTGAATTAGTGAATTAGGGAATTAATAGAATGTCTCAGAGCGAAAATAGAAACAAACGGCACAAACGACCTTCCTACGTATCGCCTTTAATGACCTTCGATGTGCGGAGTTCTCCGTACAAAATTGGAGATGTTGATTCGTCCCGCAAAGTCGAAAAAGGGGGTGGCTTATGTCGGTTCCTGGAGATATGGGGTTACATTCTTTATTATATTCTTCAACTGTTTTCTTTTAATGTTGATCAATTGATACTATAAAATATATGCTTATATAGAAGATCCGTGGAGGTTCTCCAAATGATCTTCCTAAATATTAGCATCTTCAGGGATTGTCAGTTCCACTATTGTGTGATCGGCCTCAAATACCTTATTGGATCGGATTTCAACCGATCATGTGGAATAGCTAATTGCTGTTGTTTCATGCAAAGAATTATTCCGTACAATCCTTCAGGGCTGTCCTGATCGCGTGGATAGTTAATTCAAAATCCATTGGCGCCCAAGACAAGTGGCTAACAATACCACCTCAGACATCAATCTATGCTTCTATTGTAGACAAGATTCTCATTTATCAACAGGCTTAGCAGCATCCAGCTTGGCCAGGATCTCACTCTTACCCACCTCATCACTCCACCTCTTGCGCGGTTGCTCAAAAGTCGATCCAATCCGACCATAAGAAATGCCGCCAAGTTGACCAACCGGCCGCAACTTCTCCAAGTCAATATGACTATAATCCTCATTGGCAGTGCCCTCCTTGACCCAGAACCGGGTGGCCTTGATGAGCACAGTAGCGGCGAGACTCATCCCAGGCTGTTGGTGATCCGTGAACTCCTTGATATCAATCACCTTGCCCTCGATGTTGAACACCGACTCCGCAACGCGGGATGGCTTCACAGTAGTCGATGGCGCCTCATGCAGACCGGATACATCCCACTCTGACACGCCGTAGGGAGCATCAATCGAGGTTGCGTTCACTGTCTCGATCATGTTCTCCGACACTGTGTTGATCACACACTCCCCGGTCTCTCGGAGGTTGCGGTATGTGTCTTTGACCCGACCGGGTCGAGAAGAGAATCCCACAATGAACATTGGGGGATCGTGGTCGATGACTTGAAAGTAACTGAATGGGGAAAGGTTCTTTTCACCCTGGGAATTGACGGTGCTGAGGAATCCCACTGGTCGAGGTGCAATGCCTGAAACAAGGAGGCGGTAGTTGTTGATCATCGGGCGATCTGAGGCGTAGGGGTCGATTTCATGATGTTTTTGCGCCAGACTCGCTCCATTGTCGGGTACACCTTGCCCATACTCCCAGCTGGGATTTGGGGATTTTGTTACTTTAATGGGCTTAGAATGATCAAAGTCTGGTCGCTCGGCTTGGATCTCGTCGAAATTGCCACTGTCTTGGACGACTTGGTAATTTTTCTGTGCCGCGGCGGTTTCAGCTTCCGATACCGCGGCCGTTGCAAATGAACTCATTCTCCGTTGGTTCAACGAATGAGACCCAATACGAGGTACAGAGATGGGCGTAAAATTCCAAGTCCTGGATTCAAGTTAGACACTGGCCGGGCTTGTGAGCAAAGTTTGACATACTGGTTGGATATAAAGCGGCCAATTGTTCTTCTACGAGTCATTTTGGATCAAAGAATGTATAGTTGGTAGAATGACAAGATTAAAACTCGCCTTAAACTATTTGATATCTCTTTCGAGATACCGAAAAAGCCGGGTACATTTGCCGATAGTCGGGATCTCGCTCCGACATCACGATAAGGAATCTATCTATTGCCCGAGGGGTCGACCTAACAACAACCTCGACCTCGACCACCATTGCTTCTTCATATTCAATCATGTTCAGTCGAAATACGTACGCTGCTCTTAGCAGAACTCGACTTCTATCAAATCACCTTGCTAGAACCTCTAGTCCTCGAATCCAAACTATGTCATCTAGTGCGTCGAAGCACACTATGGTAACCAGCGTGCAGACGAACGAGGCATATGCACGTAAGTTTCCGGGGTGAACCCGATGATATTCTGTAACTGACAATATATTTAGCTTTTGCTCATTATGTATGTACAATCAAGGACAGAAGAGATGAGATTTCCTAACAAGCCCACAGTCACAAGCGATTAAAGCCGCCGGCCAAGTCTGGCTCTCCGGTCAGATACCTGCAGATGCACAGGGGAAATTGATTAAAGGCACAATGGCCGAGCAGACTCAAGCTATAATCCATAATACCGAAGCTATTCTGAAGGCATCGGGCACTGGGTTAGACAGGGTTGTCAAAGTAGTGGTGAGTGTTGAAACACGCAATTCCTAGTATTTATTCGAAAATTAATTACTTGGCAGGTATATGTTAAAGATGCCAATGTAATGCCAGAATTTGCATCAATTTATGACCCTGCATTCCCGCATCGCCCTGCACGGTCTATGGTTGAAGTGTCTAAGCTGCCCGCTGGGGCGGATATTCAAGTGGATTTTATTGCTGTCGTTTAGATCAATTAGCAGGAGATTAGATTAGAGTGGATTCGCAAAGTCTAGACCAATAGAGAAATCCATTACCAAGAAATACCGGTTTCTAGGGCTAGGCCGCTTATGTCGTTGGTTACGTCGTCGGCCGGCATTGTGACAAGACGCCGAATCCAGCGGCAATAGGGTCCGAATTTTTACTGCTCATGCCGAGTCAAAGTCAAGTCAGCTTCGGTTGTTTATTAATAAAAACGAGCCCACCCTCATTGTCTTCCCAATTCCAATCCACTGTGTGTAATGGCGCTGCGTTGGACATCCCGTGCGGCCTTTCGGCTTCCCAGTAGGCTGAGACGTATCTCAGGGCATGTCGCCCTTCCAGCCATCTCTTCTGCCATTGCCAAATCTGGTCATAACCAAGTGAGACGTTCCCCACTGCAGCTACGCACTTTCAGCAGTTCTTTGCGCAACTATGGTGGCAAGATCGTCGTGCGAGTCCCGCAAATGGCCGAATCTATCACGGAGGGAACCCTTAATCAGTTTTCTAAGAAAGTCGGGGACTTCATTGAAGCGGACGAGGAACTGGCCACGATTGAAACCGACAAAATCGATGTCTCTGTGAATGCTCCGCAGGCGGGAATAATCCAGCAGCTGTTTGTTGCCGAGGGAGATGTAGTCAACGTTGATCAAGAAATTGCAGAGATCCAGGCCGGAGAAAAACAGTCTGCCAGTCAAAATAAAAAGGAAAGCCCCAAGGCCTCTGAAGAAATTGGCGATGTGTTGCCAAAATCGCAAGATGGGGCCGCGAGCCATAATTCGACGCCCACGTTGGATAAAGCAACGCCAGTGGCCCCGGCTCCAAAGCCTGATGTGGCTCCTCGCGAGGAGCCTGTTCAAAAGCCAGAAAAGTCTGCTGCAAATGTTTCATCTGCTGCAAATTCGCATACTTCTTGGGGATTTAAGCCCAGTCGCGCAGAAGAGAAGGTAAGCCTACACAGTTTCTTCCGTGCTATATTCTTCAAGACCAAAACATAATCCTACTTTCAACTAACACCAGATAATCATCATATAGGTCAAAATGACTCGAATCCGCAAGCGCACCGCACAACGCCTCAAAGAATCGCAAAATACCGCCGCCTTCTTAACCACCTTTAATGAAGTCGACATGTCCCGACTAATTGAACTCCGCAAGAACAACAAAGAGACAGTCACGGAAAAGCATGGCGTTAAGCTCGGGTTTATGGGTTTTATGGCTCGGGCATCCGCGCTGGCTCTGAAAGAGATCCCCGCTGTAAATGCATCCATTGAAAACGACGATACTATCGTGTATCGGGACTACGTCGATCTCAGCATTGCTGCATCTATCCCGAAGGGGCTTGTCACGCCTGTAGTGCGGAATATAGAATCCATGGGGATCTTGCAGATAGAGAAAGCGATTGGAGGAGTGGTGAAGAAGGTCTGTACTTTGTGTTGTCATTTGAGAAAGCAGCCGCTAATATATAGGTTCGAGTCAGGCTCGGGATGGCAAGCTAACTATGGATGATATGACTGGTGGAAGCTTCACAATCAGCAACAGTGGAGTCTGGGGATCGCTCTTCGGAACTCCCATTATCAATCTACCCCAGACAGCGGTGCTGGGAGCCTACGGCACTATGGATAGACCCATCGCTGTCAATGGACAAGTCGAGATCCGTCCCGTAAGTGTATTTCAGTGAGGATGTGTCTTCGTTCTTGGGTTCTAACTATATATCCCTCACTAGATGATGTACGTTGCTCTGACTTATGATCATCGGATCATTGATGGACGGGAAGCAGTCAAGTTCTTGGTCCTGGTCAAGAAGTACTTGGAGAACCCGGAGACTATGATGCTAGAGCTGTAAATTTGGAAATACCGCATTTGGCTGAAGGCCGAAACAAACCGAGTTATATTTTTAGTCATTTTGTTCTTGGAGTTCTTCGTTGAAGAACCTAATGCCGACAACTTCAACTATTCTTCAGATGGAAGATTGTGCGTGAGAATCTCCCAAGAAAGAATTGGGCAGTGTACGAGTGGAATATAGAGCATATCCTGGGAACATTCTTTCCTGTCTAGAATATAAAAAGAATTAATGAGTTGCTCCAAACGCTTAAAACATTTGACAAGAAATGTGAAATGCGTCGCAGACCACACCAAAGAATTGGAAGGAAGGGTTGTTTCCTATCCATTTCCCGAGGCAAAGGTTGCACATGCTTTTACAATTATGATTCATTTACATATCACTGGCAAAGCCGCGATGCTGCTTTTATCTGAATTTATATGGGCTGCCTGATTATTGGTGATTTTCAATCAAAATCGTACGCGTATACATGATTCCTCGTTTAATAATTATATCGAATTTCATCAAAACAACATTTGAAAACGACCGGTCTAAAAGAGGCAGAACACCTGCTGGGTTTGCTGGATGAGTACGAATTGTGCAGAAATAAATGAGCTTAACCCTTCCCAGGTGGAAGGGGCATTTGACATTTGATAGTATCTGAGTTCTGACGATCTAAGATAGAGGCATGTCATGTCGGAACCCTTGTCCGACGTTTTGCGGTTACTTGGCGGTTATATGGCAAGACAGAATTTAGCCGAAGCTCCTCATACTCCAGAGAGAAAATAGATGATTATATTGGCCCATTTGGGATTGCGCATTGGTTTTTCAAATGTTTCCCCCTGTTTCCCACTCCTATCAATCCTGCGCTGTTCGCTCTGGCCGTTTTCAGGTTATTTCCTTGTATAGAAAAGAGGATAAGATCTCTATTTTTTTATTTCCATTATGTACCTTCTAAGATCTTCCCTAAACCAGCGTGTTGGCCGCCTGGGTACAAGATGCCGGAAACAGGCAATTGGAAGCTATTGCTTGATGCCATGCTGGAAGGGTTATACACAAAAACGTTGTGTATGATTCACCTGGTTTGACTCGAATTGAAGTATTATAGCACAAACTGATTGGAATTTTTATAGCTCTACCTAGACAGCTTTCTGCAAGGAAATTCTGCAGATTATATGGACGAGATATATGCGGAATGGCGGAAGGACCCTGCTTCAGTTGATGCCTCATGGAAAAAATACTTCGAGGCAATAGAAGCCGGGAAGCAGCCACCTGAGCATTTACTCCAACCTCCCCAGCATGTATCGTTTGAATGGGGTCCGGGACAATCGCCAATGCTTCCAGGCCTAAATTTTTCCGCAAAGATTTCACACATTCCCTCAACAGCAGGTGACCATCAAGCCAGAATCCAGCGGCTTGTTCGAGCGTTCCAAGACTTTGGTCACCAGATAGCAAAGACCAACCCCTTGGATCTACCAGATAAAGCACCGTCACCACCAGAACTCCGACTGGACTTTTACGGCTTTACTGAGAATGACTTGGACCGAGAGTTTGCACTTGGACCGCAAGTTCTTCCTTCCTTGAAGTCGGCAAACCGTCAGTACATGACTCTTCGCGATGTTTTTAAAGAATGTCAATCCATTTATTGCGGCTCGATTGGTGCTGAATATTTGCACACCGCAACCGGTGAAGAGCGCGACTGGATTCGCGAGCGAATTGAATCTCCCGAGCCATATCGGTTCCCGGCAGATGAAAAGAAGAGAATACTTGACCGGTTGGTGTGGTCTACAAATTTTGAGAAATTCCTCGCTGCCAAATTCCCAAACGCAAAACGGTTTGGACTGGAGGGCGTCGAGAGCCAGCTTCCAGCAGTGAAGGCAGTGATCGATGCCTCCGCAGAGCATGGTGTGCGCAATATCATATTCCCATGCTGTCACCGTGGTAAATTGAATGTTTTAAGCAATGTCACACGAAAGCCAAATGAACTGATTTTCAACGAATTCTTGGGCGAATTGAAATCTCGACATGGTATTCCAGGCGATGTGAAGTACCACCTGGGGATGAACTATGAGCGTGAGACACCTTCCGGTAAGAAGGTCAATATTTCTATTCTCCCAAATCCATCCCATTTGGAAGCCCAGAATCCCGTTGCTCAGGGTATGGCCCGAGCTGTGCAGCAGCAGAATAAAGAGGACCGAGCATCAACCATGGTCTTTAACAGTCACACCGATGCTGCATTTTCCGGGCAGGGGGTTATCTATGAAACTTTGGGATTATCTGGGTTGAAGTCATATGAGACTGGCGGAACTATCCATTTGATCGTGAACAATCAAGTTGGATTCACCACAGATCCAGGGTCTGCGCGAACATCGTCCAATGTATCCGACATCGCAAAGAGTATCAGTGCACCTGTTTTCCACGTCAATGCAGATGATGTTGAAGCTGTTGTGTTTGTCTGCAAGCTCGCGGCAGATTACCGTGCCAAATTCGCAAAGGACTGTTTTGTCGATATGATCTGTTATCGGAAGAATGGACACAATGAGATGGATCAGCCGTCTTTTACTCAGCCTTTGATGTATCAGCAAATTGTGAATAAGGTCACCCAATTGGATCTCTACACCACCAAGCTAGTACAAGAAGGAGTTGTCACTCGTGAAGAAGTCACGCAGATGGAAGCAGACGTGGTCTCGAAACTGAGCGAGAGCCTTGCAAACACCAAGAATGCACAAACCCTCGAACGTGAGTATCTCACAGCACCATGGCAAGGCATGAAAAAGCCGAATGAAGTGTTTCGGGAAGTTTATCCAGCCAAATCAACCTCTATCAGCCAAGATCTCGTCAACACAGTGGCAAGTAAGCTGGGCGTCCCAGAGCAACCATTTACCGTGCACAAAAGCCTGCCCAAAATCCTCCAAAAGCGACAACAAAGCCTAACAGATGGAAAAGAAATTGACTGGGCCACAGCAGAGGCCCTGGCAATGGGAAGTCTGTGTCTCGAAGGTCATCATGTGCGGATTTCAGGCCAAGATGTCGAGCGCGGCACATTCTCCCAGCGTCACGCAGTGCTCCATGACCAAAATAGCGGGTCAACATCTACTCCTCTTGACTCACTGAGTCCCACCCAGGCTCGATTTACAGTTGGAAATTCTTCCTTGAGTGAATATGGTGTCATGGGATTCGACTACGGATACTCCTGCATGCATCCTAATGCATTGGTGATGTGGGAGGCGCAATTTGGTGATTTTGCAAATAACGCCCAATGCATAATTGACCAATTCGTTTCGTCTGGCGAGTCCAAATGGTTATTAAGATCTGGTCTTGTATTGTCTCTACCTCATGGGTTTGATGGACAAGGATCTGAACATTCATCGGCTCGAATGGAACGGTTCCTACAGTTGTGTAATGAGGATGCTCGCTTCTTCCCATCACCAGAGAAATTGGCGAGACAACATCAGGATGCCAATATTCAAGTTGTCTACATGACCACTCCTGGAAATATGTTCCATGTGCTCAGACGGCAGGTACACCGTGAGTTCAGAAAACGTAAGTTCTTACCCTATATACATTATGAAAACCATTACTTACCAAAATACCTATCTAGCGCTGATCATGTTCTTTTCAAAATCCCTCCTTCGAAACCCGATGGCAAAATCTAACATTGGAGATTTCATGGGAGGCTCGAAGTTCCAACCTCTGATCCCAGACCCAGCCCATGGGAAATCCATTTCTCACCCTCCTGATATCAAACGAGTGATATTCTGCACGGGACAAGTCTACATGGCACTGGCGAAGTATCGTGAGGCTCATAATATTGAAAATACAGCTATAACCCGCATCGAACAGCTTCATCCATTCCCTTGGGAGCAGGTAAAAGAGAACCTTGAGCAGTACCCGAGCGCCTCGGATGTCGTATGGAGCCAAGAGGAATCCCTCAATGACGGCCCATGGGCATTTGCTAGAAGTCGACTTGAGACTATCTTTGATACGACGGAGCAACACAAGGGCCGTCGGGTACGCTTTGCGGGACGCGAAGCAACTGCTAGTGTGGCTACAGGGTTTGTCAAGGAACATCATGCTCAAGAAGCTGCTTTGCTGAGGGATGCTTTTCAGTCTGTTTAAGTTGGGTCTAGTGAAATTTAATCACTTGAGTACGACAAGGAATGAATATGAAGTGATCTAAGTAATTTCCCGCTCTTATTTTAGCTTTTTCTTTTCTTTTCTTTTTCGTATGTTCTGTTTTTATTTATGCGATGGAAGGTGTTTTATGTGTTGACCCATTCTGAGAGATAAAGACCTGTTCTAGATTTATGTACTCCATTATCTAGTAAAGCCAATGATATCTAAAGTTGAAGGAGGGAATGAGATGATATGCGGCTGAAAACCTAATGAGCCTTAAATGAACAATGTACCTTTTAAAGCCAAGTATCTGCCTGCGACTCTCCAAGTTAATAGAAGCCTAGCTAGAACAAAAAACTGAAAACTGAAACTCAGGGATTTCTATGATCTATTAACTCTCTCTAATACAGAAGGTCTACTTGTTCTGCAATTTGAACTTCATGAATTCTCGTAAAAAGTCGTATAGTTAGTTGGCCTCAAAAGAGTCGTGATATATCAAACCCCAACAGATTGAATGATCCCCTCCATATCTAATTGATCTGCGAGATCATATAATTCTCGTGGGGGAAGACTGACGGAGGAATTGAGTCCCAGTAGATCCCACTCAAACTCTTCGTGATCGAAGGCGTAATGTTCTTCATTGATTTCATTGTCTTCATCCAAATTAATTTGCGGCAAAGGGTGATTTGTCAATTTTGGCGTCAAAGGTGCGAGTATTTGCTCTAATTGCCTAAGTTCAAGCCTGCGAAGTGGTGCAGCTAGATTACCCTTTGAAATGAGTTTATCGAGCACTAGTGTCAGGTTGTCGCACCAAGTATCGTTCGAAATCACCGATGGGGCAATTGCACGGATCAGGTAGAGAACAAATGCAGAGGATGATGCGTCCTCAACTTGAAACGGTAAAAATGCGTCTGTGGACTGGAATTAGTATTAAGATGTTTAAATAAAGTTAGCAGACATACCCATCAAGTCATCATCCGCTAAAGTACGAAGGGTCTGGAGGATAGTCTGGGCGGAATCGGCGCAGCATTGCAACAGGGATGCAACAGGTGATGATAACCCGATCGTCTGAGATTTATGTCTCTCTGTTCGTTCAATATGCATATGGAGTGCGCACATCACTAGTGGTCTTGTTGTAAGTACCACGCACTGCTACTGTTAGCTCATGGCGAGATCAATTGTTCGCGGGAACCCACGTGATGATGAGCCAGCATCAATCGAATCGCCATTTTCGAGGCACGGCTAATTAATCCGTGGAAATGAGCATTTAAAAACGCAGTTAGGTCGTACGAAAGCTCGGCAATACTGTGAAGAATGGATTGTGTGCTTCGAATGAGCGTGTCGTCGAAATCGTTCCCAACCCCGTAAACGGCTAGATCTTGTTAGCATTACATCCAACGCCAATCGACCAAAAGACCCACTTGTCAGAATAGTGGCCATAACCCGGGAAAGCCGAACATGCAGTGTCAAGTTAATTTGTTCAACTGAATCATCCATCTCTGCTGGCAATTTAACCGTGATATCCTCATCCCGAATTGAGCTTGGGGCACCGATTAAAGCAGAGAATTCTCGGTCCAACATATAAACCACCCAGAAGATTGTTCTGCATCGTTTGGAGAGCTCTGGTCCACATATCTCCTCTGGTACATGCCTGTGTATTCCTTCAATTATACAGCCTCGTAGGGCATGCCCAATCTGTTCACGCAATTAGAGAATTCAGTAACAGTGAGACAAGAATAAACCCACATGTTGGAAGGCCGCTCTTCTCATATCTATTGACTGAAGGTACACTGCCCCTAGGCTGAGTGCTTGGATACAGCCCAAAGGGTCTTCGTCAACTCCCGACAAATCAGGTAACAGAGCCATCGCCCGCGATGCATATTGATGACCAGGCGGTGTCCCAGAATGATTCCTCTGAGTCAAGAACGCCTTTCCAAAGGCAAGAACAAGTAAGTATTGGCAGTACCAAGGTCTTTTGGAGGCAGCTTTCGCTGAAGGGTCCCGGTAGAATTCATGCAGGTCCTGCAAATAAGCAGGTTCATCAATCATAAAAGAAAGAAAGCCAAAATAGAACTTGACTGTGTTGAATAAGAAGAGTGCATAGTCCAACGGTGGCAGATTAGTGACGTCAGGTACTTCGTCTGGGGGATATGGTCGCCAGGTCAACTTGAACGCAACGCCATCAATGTGAAATGGATCTGGCGGGCAGTTTGATTCAGGCACCTTTCTCCCTATCAAAGCAAGGACACGGCGACAAAATGACCACGACGATGTCGGCCCCATGTACCCTTCGATGTCCGAGTCAGTAATGAAGTGGCGCGATACGATAGACTAATTACTCACAAAATCGGCCATCTGGTGTCTGGGCAAAAGAAGGATCCCGATCAACCAAAGGATTCCGGGAGAATCTTGATCGGTCATGGTCTTGTTCAGTACCACTGTTGGTCTCATGCTCTCTCTGAGGGGTCCCTGGGGTATGTAGTGGCGGGCCCATCCCTGGCAGCAAACCACGATCAGCACACCAAACACATATTCAAAGAACGGTTATAGCATACCAATTGACATTGAACGCCATCCAATATCTTGTTGATTGTCTAGCAGTGTGCTAGATGCTTGAGGGGTTGGAGGAATATCAATATTATCATCGCCCGTGAACAATGTACCTCCCAGAGGACTATGATCAAGAGGTGCTGGGGGCCCATGTCGCCCTGAGCTTCCTCTTCTGGAAATGTGCTCCTCTAGTTCTCGCAAGTACCTATTACGGATTAGCACGTACTCTGCAGCCAGTTGGAGCTAGTTACCGTTCCGACACGGATACCCGGACCTCCTCCACCGGAAAGTGACAGTGCTTCTTCTTCCGTGCACATCTTGTGCAAGGGCTGACCCCCGAGCATTTGACCTTCATTGACCGACATCGCTCACAGCTTTTTTTTTTATAAAATGTAAGTTGTATATTCTACTTTGGGCCCGATCGAAGATTCTGACTCACGCCTTCTGGCACTTTTTCGTTTTTGCCTGGCTAGGCGTTGCAGGCATACCGGATTAGGATACCGAGATGATGTATAGAACAATTTTGAAGATTGTTTGTGCTACCGGGGCAACTCTCCGATATCAATGGCCTTGCAGAGTGCGGGGTATAGATGGAAGAGTAGGAACAATCGGTCGGGATGCGCTTCCGACTTTTCTTATCGGAGATAACAGCACATCCGATGTCGTCTTTCACGAACCATCACATGATTGGTGAGGCCCTAAAGGATTGACTTTGCCGTGATCTATTTGGCTTGGTGCATAGATTGTGCATATCTACTGGGCTCTAATAGTTTGATTGGTTATCTTGTGCATTGAGTATCTAGCCACTAACCTCATCCGATGATCCTTCGCCACAACTCACGACGCAATGCGGTCACCATGTGTTGTGTTCGTTCCACTGCCCCGCGATTCTCGATTGCTCGGCGGTGTAGATATCCCATGCACTCAGCAACTGAACCCCAAGCCATGCATTTGAAAGCTTTTGGTGCGGTCAAGTTGGCAATAGATGATTGTTCGAGAGCACGTTCATAGTTTTGCACCAGTTCACAACTGAGCTCGTCAGCCATGCCTTGAATTTGTCCACATTCCAACATGACTGTGGGTTGCTTGGCGAGAAGCCTATTCTGGTGTGTGGCAATTGCTTTGGCTGCACTAGCAGCGTTGTGGGTGGCAAGGAAAAGAGCGGCCTCAGGGAATGGAAGGCTCTCCTTCCCAGTAGGCATTCTTCGGCAAAGCAAGGTGTCTGCGATGAGATCGTAGGACTGATCCGTGTCGGCCTGTGTATCATGAATGAGAGAGCGGGTCTCATGCTCAATGTACGCCCCTCGAACCAACTTGATACCCAGAGACCAGCCCTCTTGCGCAGCCAAGGTAAGATGGTGGTCAAGGTTCGCCTTTGACCCCTTGAGATAACCCTGAATGGTGTTATAAACGATTGGGGTTTCAGATCTATTATGTCTGCGCATCACTTCAATTGCCCACTCATCAAGGCCATGTTGCAAGACTTGTTGCTCTGCATCCAACCAGAGACGTGAGCCCTGTTTTTCTGTCGCAATGCAAATCTCATCCATGGCTTTAACCAGAGCCTCTGGCATACCCTGGCGTGCTGCCATTGCATCTACTGAAATAGGGCCGGCACCTGTCAATCTGGCAACAGAACATCAGATTCCATTGGACAATAATTCAGAGCTTCATACTTACTTGACGGCAAGGAAGTCACCCGGCCCAACCATACGTAGTGTCTCCAGTGTTCCCTCCTTCCACTCGTCAATCATCTTGTAGCACTTTTCGCTGTATTTTGATGCGCCGGATGCATTGGTCGAAAGCATTTCTTCCCGATCCAGCACTATCTCTTTCGAATACCCCAATATGACGCCCTGGTATCCCATCTTCTTAATGTCTGCCACGGTTTTTGAGACTTCCTTTCTATTTACTCCAGCACAAAAGTGATTGTAGACCGTCCAGCGAAGAAACTTGTTCAAAGGGAGATTCCGATCTGGGTTCAATAGTGCGGATTTCGATGTCGCAAGGACGCCCATTACGGCTAGAGCAGGTCGTAAGAATAACTTGGATGTCATCAAGGAAGTCAAAAGCAACGACCGTAGCAGTATTCTCATCGGGATTCGGGCCATAGATGAGACATCGACGGGCGGTTTGATTGCCGGTACGATGGCGGCATCATGGAAGTGAGATTTTGTCGAATGAAGTCGACAAACTAAGGTCGGTGAAATTCGAACTGAGAAACCATGAGGGGTCCTCATAGAAGTAGAACGAGGTATCATCTTGGTTTAAGTCAAGGACGCAAATAGAAGGGTCTAAAGCCGTGCTTGTGTTTTATAAAGAGTTCAAGATTGCAATATCTTTCATTCAACTCAGGTCATGGAATACTATTTGAAGTAAACATTTCTTCCACCATCTCTATTACTTTATCAGACAGCTACTACTTACCCAACTATTCGGTTGCCAATAGTCAG